TAGAATAGGATATATAATATTTTATATATAACTGTAATATATACAGAAAAATAAAAATTTAAAAAAAATAAAAATAAAATTTACTAAAATCTTTTCTAATTCTAGATTAACTATAATAAAAAGTTTTTATAGATTTTATTACTGATTTATTTTTATTAAATAATTATATAATAATACTAGTAATTATAAATAGATTTATAAAAAAAGTAATTTTTAAAATAATAAACTCTACTATAGTAGAGAAGATAATTTAAGCTCTAGTATAAATTTTAGTAAAATAATATAAATTTTTAAGAATTATTATATTTAATAAAAAAATATAATTTATAAATAAAATATAGATTATAGTCTGCTGACTAGCCTCTATATAAAAATTATTTTTAATAACTTATTATTTATAAACTAATACTTAAATAGAAAAAATAAACAGTACTTTTAAAGTCTATATTTAAATCTATATCTATTATAACTAATTAAATTAAAAGAAATTTCTTTCTTTTACTAAATTAGTTTTAAATAATTATATAATAATTATTATAAGAATAAATCTCTTTTTTTTAATTTATAGATTTTATTTTTTTTTTAATCTTAAAAAAGACTGAGAATCTTTTATAGAGTATTTAATAAAAAATTTAATTTAATAAAATAAAATTATTATATAAATTATTTCTGAAGTAATAAAATAAATTTAAATCTTAATTATTTATTTTTAATAATAAACTGAAAAATAAGTAAATAAGAGATAAAATATAGTTTCTAAATATTAAAAAAATAATAAAATATAACTGAAGCTGCAGAATATCTATATAAGCTGTTTAAGCCGGAAGCTAGACTAGAAAAATATAAAATATATAGTTCAGAAACTAATAGATTTATATATTATATAATTTAATATATTCTTTAGAATATATTCTATCTTTTATATAAATTTTCTCTATCTTATAGTAATAGATTTTTTTTTTATAAGTAATAAATAATATTTAATTATTTATAATTCTAGTAAATAATTAAGAAAAATAGCTAGTTAAAAATATTATAAATAAATATTATATAAAAAAAAATTAAGACTAGTAGAGAAAATATAAAATTAAATAAATAAATTATATTTATATAATAATTAAATATACTTTAGTTTTAGAGAAAACTATAGTACTAGATTACTAATTATAAAAAACTGTATTATATTAAGATTTAAAAGAGATTTTTAACTGGACAGTATAGTAAACTTCTATTTTAAACTAATAACTGACTCTTATATAATTATCTAATTAATAAAATCCTAGATAGTATTATAGGAGGAGAAAAATAAAAATAAATTAGAAATAAATTATATCTTCTTTAATAGATTATAATAAGAATATCTTAACTAATATAATTTTTATTTATATAAAGTACAAGTACCTCTGAAGTATCCGGCTATCCGTATAACCGGTCTGAAGTTAGTAAGAGAAGAATTTAAATAATTAGTATAATAGATAATTCTTTTAATAATAATAAAAAAGTTATTTATATAATTTTATCAGCTAGTTTAAATCTATATAGTATCAGCTTTATATAATAAACTAGAATCTATAACTAATCTGTTCTACTGTTACTACAAGTTTACTATAAATATTAAAATAGATAAGAAATTTATAATAAAAAAAATATTAAACTTTCTTTTTTTTTAAGAATTAGCTGAGCTATTATATAAAGAGAAGATAGTCTTCTATCTAGATATTAGTATAATATATAAAATAGAAATAGTAGTTTCTGAATAAAATAAGATAAAACTAAATATATATATAATCCCTATAATTGATTACTGTATATACTGTATAACTTAGAAGACTATATACAGTACTGGAAGTACCAGACAAAAAGACAGTACTAAACTTATTACTAGGATTAAACTAGACTATATTTTTATAATAATAATAATATAACTAGTTAGAATAGAAGAAGAAGAAGAATTTCTAAGATAAATAATACTGAACTGAGCTCTATTACTATATAATATATAATCCCAGTCTACTACAGTATAGATAACTAAGTAGGATCTATTCTTATATAACAGTATAATTTACTCCTACTGCCGGGGGGGGAACAGGAGATATTATTATAGATCCAGGCAGGAAGCTTCTAGCTCTAAAGAAATAGCTCAGCTAATATCTTACTCTGACTTTGTTTCTTATATAAAAGAGCAGTAAACTAACAGATAAAAGGCTATCTCTTTAATAATATAAAGATTTCTTCTTTAATAATTCCTTCTTGTTTATAGACACTTCTGTCGATTATACAAATCCAGAGGTTCCCCTTATATAAATATATATAAAGTATTCTACTAAGCTGTAATATATGTTTTTAAAAAATATAAAATAAAAAATATCTAATAACTGACAGAAATAAGATAAACCGGAAAATATATAAATTAGAATAATATTATTAATATAATATAAATTATTTAATTTAGATATTAAATAAAAGTTATAATTATCTAGAATTAATAAATTATATCTACTAGTTCTTTAATTAATTATTAATAAAATAAAATAATTTTTAAGCCAGTATAAGCTGATTTTATTATTTATCCAGCTATTTAATAATATATTAATTTTCTAATTATTTAGAATTAAGACTTTATACAAGCTCTCTATATAATTTATTTTTTTAAGAATTAAGTATAGCTTTAAAGTCCAGCTAGTAGTATTAATATATTTAATTAAAGTTATTTATTCTCGGTTATCTGACTGGATTAAAAAGAATCTTTTTTAATAATTTAATTATATAACTACTTTAACTGTTATAATCTAATCTATTATAAAATCTATTTTATTAAAATTAAAAATATCTTCTTTAAGAATTCTGTATTTTAATATAATCTTATAAATATAGTTAAATCAGATTTCTATAATCTGTAGATTTTTATATTTTATCTACTTAGTATCCAGCTGGTAAAAATATTAATTTTTTAAGATTTTATAGTAATTAATATAGTTACTAATCTATTTTTTTTTACTAGTTATAGTAGTTTCTAACTACTATATTTTTAAAATAGTATATTAGCTATCTTATAAACTGCTGAGTTTCTTAGAAATATACTATAAATATTAAGTAAGAAAGTTTATTTTTTAAATATTTTTTTTTCTTACAGTAAGCTTGTAGGAATTCAGACAAGCTTCTTTATAAAATAAACGGCTATTAAAACAGTGTTAAAGAGTTAAATAAGAAATATTAAATTCTACTGCAGCTGTACGAACTGAGTAAGATTAACTAGTTTTTATAGCCTTAATAGCAAGGAGAATTTAGCCCTCTTGATACACCCGCTCTTTTAATGATTTCAGCATTTTTGGTGGTAAAATTGATGGTTGAATTGCTTCGTTTCCCGGAGGTGGGATGATTCAGGGGCTCGCTCGGTTGACGATTACGTTATTATTCTACAGTTAGTCAACAGCAAAGTGGATTTATTATTAGTCCGCTGTTGATATAGTTCTCAGCTGAGAAATAAACAGAATATAAAAAAGATATTTTAAAAATTATACTGTAAGAAAGAAGTTGAAAAAAAAAGAGATTTTCGACACCTCTGGGATTCGAACCCAGGCGGGCGAACCCACAGGCTATATATACTATATTAGTCGGAAGACTAATGAATAGCAGGCCTGCGCCTTAACCACTCGGCCAAAGTGTCTCGATATAAAATATTACTCACATATAAGGAATTCCACAGAAAACCAGCCAAAATCAAAAATAGACCAAAATTTTCAAAAGCTACCTCCCGGCCCAGAAAGTCACCAACGACCTTAATCTGACCAACATCCTATGATATCACAACATCAATTATTGAATGATCCTACAGCCTCTCTTACACATCAATATGACGCCTGATCCTTATCAATAATTCATGTTCATCCGAATAATTTATACGAGAGGATCAACTCCACTGATGTCTTTATCAAGACACAAGTGCTGAGTACTATCATTGCATGATTTCTGCAACACTCCCTGGTCCAGATAAGTGTGGCTATTATTGGGGTGGCTGTCAATGTATTTTCCAACTGCAAGCTCCTATTACTTATCATCTAAGCCCCTGATTGATCATCCCAAGCCAAAGAAAGAAAGAAAGAAAGAAAGAAAGAAAGAAAGAAAGAAAGAAAGAGACAAAAATAGCCTGATGTTTAATAACACAGAATCAGTAGTCCCCGCGGCCGTGGGGGGCGCTGAGGCATGATTTTCAAATTTTTGCTCATGTATGGCCCCCATCCTTGAGAGGCCAAAAAAGGTGACTTATCCATCAAGACACTTTGGCCGAGTGGTTAAGGCGCAGGCCTGCTATTCACCAGTCTTCCGACTAATATAGTATAGCCTGTGGGTTCGCCCGCCTGGGTTCGAATCCCAGAGGTGTCGAAAATCTCTTTTTTTTTCAACTTCTTTCTTACAGTATAATTTTTAAAATATCTTTTTTATATTCTGTTTATTTCTCAGCTGAGAACTATATCAACAGCGGACTAATAATAGTCAAATATCATACGACTCAACTAATCAGACACTTTGGCCGAGTGGTTAAGGCGCAGGCCTGCTATTCACTAGTCTTGCGACTGGTATAGTATAGCCTGTGGGTTCGCCCGCCTGGGTTCGAGTCCCAGAGGTGTCGCACATCCTTTTTTTCCTTTTTACAGTCTAATTTATACATACACATGTCTCTACAATGATATTTATTTCATTTCATGTCCTGAATGGGTAGGTAGATGATATGGGCTAGAAAAACACGTATTGTTGTTCTTATTCCCTATCAATCTACAGCAGAACCAGATTTGTGTATCCTTTCTTTGAATTCGGATTGTGTTTTTCTTTACAAGTTAGAGCATTAGAACGCGAGTTTATGAATTTTTGCCAATATTGACCATCCTGTCAATGTCAATGGCTGTATTTCTCATCTCCCATCCAGGTTGCTCAATCGTCGCGGAGAAGGAACTCCATATTGACGTTTCGCTGGTCGCGATATCCCTGTTGCTCGACCGGGGCTGCCTGTCCGAGCGACATGAACCAGGTTGGCGTGAACATGTGAACAACATCTATATCTGTCGACAACAACTCCCCGCTCTCAATCCTGTTTTATCCCTGTGTCCTTTAGATCTTGATCGCTCACCCGTCTGCCAGGCCCAGCCAGCCTTGTCCACTGGCAGCTTTTGATGACATCAAAGTGGACGATCCTGGCTAAGACCTCCAGCAGCTCAGCCCGCGTGCCTCCACCAGCAACGCTGCACCAAACGGCCTCCCCTTGCTGACTCGGCAAGCATATCACGAACCCTGTTTACTCACCAAGTGGCGCCCTGTCGGGATTTCTTTGGCCATGTCGAAAAAGCCAGGAGCAATACCATGGAGCGTCCGGAGACTCAAATTGTGGACGCTGCCTGTGGCGAGTCCCCTTCGTCAGAGCCCTTCCAGGACAGTAGGGTCAATAGCATAATGTGTTGCGTTGACGTAGCCCGGTTCCCGTCATACCGTCGAATAAGTCGCAATGCGAAAGTCGGCAGCTGATCGAACCCTACGAATATCCCGCCTGCCATACCGGATAAGGACCGCGAGTGTATTCCCCGAGGGGTTTGCTGGGCTCCGAACCGTTGACTTAATCATTATGCAATCTACATTACAATCCACCTTCTTACGCTATGCTATATACCAGCTACCCGGGAGACCGAGTGTAGTGGTCTTTAAATGCTGACTCAAATGCGCATCTTTGGCTGTCTATCACATGGTAAGACCACCTGAAATTGCGCCGCCATAAAAGCGCAGCTAACAGTTAACAATGCTGTATGTATGTAAGGCTGTGGTCAGGAAATTGTGCTGTAGTCAACTGTGTCGCTGAGGGCCCCTTGAAGCCTTTGCACCTCAGGCTCTGCCGCGTAGCTAGCTGCCTTTTAGACTTGATATCATCCGTATCTGCTTTCAAGGGTCTGTCTGCAACTGGCCCATCTGGCCCGTCTCATCCATAGGGCAACCCAGGAGTCGTTCGCGACCAACGGACCCTGAAGCACGTGCCGACGACACCCTCTATACACTCACTGTACAGTGAGTAGACAGTAGACCCAGATAGGGAGACCCTCCGCATGACAGGTGTCATGGTCAGCTAATGATGCAGCACCTCCGCAAGCGACCGGGATCTGCGGTGATGAACTGCACGCGGGGAAGGTTCTCCTTCCGTCGAGGGGGGCGCTCCCACCAGCTGCAAGTCCAGCGGGGGCACTGGAAGGGGAAGGGGGAGAGGAGTGGCAGCTAAGTAGGTACGGAGTAGTTCGACTCTCTACTCCGTAGGTACTAAGTATGTAAGTGAGTGAGTGAGTGAGTGAAGTGAGTGAGCGAGAGACAGTGATCAGTGAAGAGTGAAGACGGGAGCGGCCCACCCGTACCCAAGGGCAGCCCGGCACTAAGGCGGCGCTCAACCAACCGGATCGGCGCCCCTCTGAACCCCGACTCTCCTTAATGGCCGATGTTATCTGTGGCTCTCGCTGCTCTCTCTCTCCCTCCTCTCCTCTCCTCTCCTCTCTGACTGCCTGCCTGCCTGCTTCCCCCTCCTTGGCCTGCCTCATTCATTACTATCAACCTTCCCGCCAAACTCTCTTCTCCTCTCCTCCCTCCTCTCCAGTTCTCTCCCTCAGCCTCCATCCTCTTCCTCTCTTTCCTCCATATCTAACCTCTTCATCCCACCACCCCGTCCGCCCGTCCGCGCTCGGTTCCCCCCCCCCCCCCCCCCCTCCCTCGGGTCGCATGGCCCCCTACATCCTCCCCCGATCAAGGTTCTAGTCGCTTGTTCGGGCCACCCTCCAACGCCGCCTCCCTCTCCTACCTAATTTAGATAGTCGTCCTCGGCTCGCCTCCTTTCTTCCTTTGTGTGCGCCTTGTTTCACCTGCCTGCTCCTCTCCTCGAATCCCAGGCTGTCTACCCCTTACCCTCGAACCATCAACCATACCGGTTCGGGAGCCTTGCGGAGAATTTGCCCCGTCGTTCCTTTTCTTGTTGCACCGACTACAACTACTACTACCACCTACTACTCAGTCGTCCCTCGTTTTCGCTGGCGCTACCACGGGGCCTGTTAATTCCAACCAACAACCATGTCGGACAACAAAGTCGACCCCCATACCACCATTCCCGGCTTCAGCGACCCGCCTCAACTAGCCGCCTTCTCAGTGCCATCCCTCGACCCCGTGGAGCCCTTGAGCCCCATTTATCGTCCCGAGACCGCCGAGCATGAGAGCCAGGTGCCCGGTTCGTCGAATACGGACCCCGCGGATGTCGGCGATAACACTACGTTGGCTCCTGACTCCAAGCAGAGCCCTGTAGATGCTGCTCCATCCGCCAGCACATCTGCCGAAGGATCCGACGAGGCCAAGGCTACGGCAGCCGCGCCCGAGCCCTCGTCCCAGAAATCGGAAGAGGCCGCGAAAGATGAGGACGATTCGGGGCCATCGTTGGTGATCACCTTGCTGCTGATCACCGGCTCTCGGCACCCGTTCAAGATCGACGGGAAATACCTTCGGAAGCGGTCGGTCAATGTGGAGAACAACGATCCGTTTGCCATGAGTGTATACACTCTGAAAGAACTTATCTGGAGGGAATGGCGGCAAGGTATGAGTGATTTGCAGAGGCCGGGGAGACGCGTGAACCCACCGAGCTAACGTGTACTGGTAGACTGGGAACCGCGGCCATCGTCGCCTAGCTCCATCCGACTGATTTCAATGGGAAAGCTGCTCGACGATAAGGCCCCATTGTCAGGTATGACTTTCCGAGTTTGTGTCCGATCCTGCGACTTGACGCTGACGTTACCACCCATAGACTCGAAGTTCAACCGGGACGCACCGACTGTGGTCCACATGACGGTGAAGCCCCAGGATCTCGTCGACGAAGAAGACGCAAAGGGGTCCAAGACTCAGTACAGCCGGGAGCGCGAGTCCAGCGAGCGTAGCCCAGGCTGTCGCTGCATCATTCAATGAGGGAGATGGGTTTCGCAGCAGAAAACAGACGTTGAGTACTAAACGGCGGTACTGAGTCGCCAGATCGCCGATAACCCGTTGCCCCTTTGCCTCGGATGCAAAGGGCAACGCTAGCCTGCTTGTGCCGCCCGAAATTATCGCCCAAGCCTTCTTCCCTGGCTCGCCTATTCGGAGCTTGTTGCTTCCTTTACTCGGTGCGAGTTCACCCTTGGCCCTCGCCACGCGCGTTTCGTCATTTGTTGCAGAAGTCGCATGTGGTTGGCTATCCGACCGTACGCTGGGGCAGCATTATGGATGCTTTGTCCTTGGTTCCCAGCACCGATGCATTGACATTTACCCGGTTCTCATCTACCCAGTGGACACCATATTGGCTTGCATAGTTCTGAGTTGCTTGATGCGGCTCCCGATCATCTATCTATTCGTATATACCCTAAGCTTGTTCTCTCCATTTGCTCCTCCCCCCCCTCCTCCTGTGTTGTATACTGGCCAGCCTGTGCATTTCTGTCCATATACGGAAGACTGTCTTCGCCTTTGCTTTTGGCTCTTTCTCGTTTTCGTTCTGTGTGCTGAGTTAGGGCTTGGAGACCGACGCTGGAGCCAGGGATGACCCTGGGGGCTCTCTTCCATGGCCGAATCTAGTATTGCTAATAGGCTGATGTCAACCATTCGTGGTGACGCTCTTGGGTTCGAGGGCGGGAA